CACCTGCCCACGCATACACACAAACACGACTCATCATGTTGACCCATCAAAACAGGTACGACCGCTCAGATAACAGCTGGCGCCAGGTGGTGGACGCGAGACTGGTAGCCGCCATGGGCCCGCCAGGCGGGGGGCGCAACCCCGTCACCGGGCGGCTGCTGAGGCACTTCTGCGTCGTCGCCATCAACGAGTTTGGTGGGTTGGTGGGGGCAAATTCCGTCAGGATGTTTGGGGCAGATTTGGGTCTATCTGGCATCCTCCCTTGCTTGCCCACCTCTCCTAAAGACGGGCCCTCACACACTCAACGCCCCTCCCCCACACGCACACTTGTCCCAGCAGTACGCAAACGCAGTTAAAATCATACAACTACACACAAAACCCACATACACATGTACCATTTGTCTCGCATAATCACATGCGCCACCACCCGCCTCTCAGATGACGCCTGCTACTCTCGCATCTACACCGCCATCTCCTCCTGGTGGGCCGCCCGGGCCCGCCTGCCAGAGGCAGCTTCCGCGCGGCTGTCCGCCGTGGTGGCGGCGACGCTGTCCCTGTACGGGGCACTGCGGCGGCAGTTGCTCCCGACGCCGGCGAAGAGCCACTATGTCTACAACATGAGGGACCTGTCCAAAGTGTTCCAGGTGGGCAGGGACGTGTTCTCTTTGTGCTGTGAATCTTTTTGTCCAGTTGGTTGTCCCTGGTAGGCATCGCGTACCGATGTTCATAATCAAGGTGGGGACGTATCAACAAGACACCGCAGCTGTCTTATCTGCGTGGCTCGTTGATGCTTGTTCTAGCATGATGACATCAGTCACCCCCCACACACACCAAAAAACAACACTCACAACCAAAATTGTCCTCTGAATATACTCACACGAAGGGAATGTCTTCCGTGGGCGCGCCTGTGGACTCCCCGCGCGCCCTGGCGCGCCTCTGGGCGCACGAGTGCCTGCGCGTCTTCCACGACAGGCGCGTAAGGCTGCGGCGAGTGCCCAGGCTTCCACCTTGATTCGACATCTGAAGTCGTGTCTCGTGTCTCACAGCCGTTCACCACGCATAGTGTCCGCTCAGCTGCGGCGCTTCCTCGCCTCATTCGCTCGTTAGTTGCTCATGCCTTGTGTCATGTTGGCTGCAGTGAACAGCACTAGCATTTTGTATCATGTGATCAGAAACGCCTACAGCCGCTCCATCAACCACTCATTCCGCAGGCTGGTGGACGACGGGGACCGCTCCTGGTTCTGCGCCCTGCTGGCGCGCCAGGTGGACGACCACCTCGGCGTGAACTTCTCGGACGCGTTCCCGCCCGCCGTCGACGTCACCGGTGACCCAGCCGGGGGCCCGCCCTCGGCGGCCGTAAGTCCGCGGCGCGGGGGCGGCGTTGCAGAGGGGACCGCGGAGGCGGCCGCGCTGAGGCGGGTGGTGTACGCGCCGTTTGCCAAGGCGGCGGGCGGAGAGGTGAGTGTGCTTACGCGGGCACTGTTGGCCGGATGGGCGGAGCTCATCCCTGGTCAACGGTTGTCGAGCTGGGGTTTGGACTAGTTTGTAGACGCCGCCCGGGCCCCTTGGGTGGGTTGCAGGAGCTTGGCATCAGGGCGGGGGGGCACGCCCCGCGCACTATCCCAGACAAAACGACCACTGTGTTGCGCTGCATTCCGCTCACCCTTGCACGCACGGCTGGTGCTGTCTGTCATCGCCGCAGGGACCTTCTCTGTACCAGGAGGTGCCCTCTGGGCAGCAGCTGCTGCGCGCCGTGGAAGGCGCCCTGGCTGACTACAACACACAGGTTGCAGGGACCTGCTGTGCATTGGGGAGCTCTTGGGTGCAACACAAGCGGTGGCGGCCTCAGTAGGGTTCTGCTTTGCCTTGGAACCCTGCTTCTAGAACCCCGCCCTCATGGACCTTCTGTTATTGCTCACCAATGGGCCGGCCAACTTGACAGTGTGGGAAGACAATCCGCCTGTCATCAACCCCCGTTCACACCAACCAATGATCCCGCCCAGTCCAAGAGCCGCCTGGAGCTGGTGGTGTTTGCCTATGCGGCAGAGCACGTGGCGCGCATCAGCCGCATCATCAGGCGAGGGGCTCAGTGCCCTCATTTTCGCAGGGCTGCACACGCCCTCGGCTCGATTTTGTGAAGTAGAAGGACGCTTCGGGGGTGCACACGCATGCCGCAAGCACACCTGGGATGCATGATCCGCTTGGGTGCATGTTTGCACCGCCTGGAACCACGTGCAGATTACGTGGCGTGTGCCAGGAAGCACGCCAAGCGTTGCGAGGGCCCACGCACCCCTTGCATAGTATGTGCCTTGCCAAACAAACCATCAATACTCAGCCAAAGACCGCATGCATTGCCGGTGTTCGGCGCCCCGCAGGCAGCCATACGGCAACGCGCTGCTGGTCGGCGTCGGCGGCAGCGGGCGGCAGAGCCTCAGCCGGCTGGCGGCTCACATGGCCGAGTACAAGCTGTTCAGGTGGGTGGATGTTTTTTTCAGCGGGTGCATCCGGATGGTGAGAGTGCTGGATCGATCAGGTATGTTGACTTGTCATGGGGGCGGCATCCATCCAGTATTCACACACAAAGGGCACCTGTGAAGGCCTACCTTGGCCCTCCCGCCCTGCTCAAGCCCTTTGCTAGCCGCGACTTGCCAAGTGCCCGGCGCGCCTTACCCTGTGTCAAATGACGCCGCACCTACATGACGTCACACCTGCCCCTGGATGACGTTACCAGTGTTGAGATCACGCGGTCCTACGGCCTGACTGAGTGGCGGGAAGACCTGAAGAAGGTCCTGCTGCAGGTGGGCGGGTGCTGGATGCACCCACGGGCTGTGAAGCAGGCAGCAAAGGCGTCTTCAGTTGCAGCGGGAACCTCCACTACTCAACACGCGGCTCTAGCTTTCCTCGAACGACCAGTCATGTGGGGCCCGGGTCAGGTCCCAGCCGCGACTGCCCTGGGCAGCTAGCGCGGTTTGCGCGTGCTACCTGAGCTCTCGCGACGGTGCTATCATGCGCTCGCCGTGCGCGTGCATCCCATCCGCAGGCGGGCGTGTCTGGCCAGCCGTGCGTGTTCCTCGTCAGCGACACGCAGCTCAAGAGCGAGGCCTTCCTGGAGGACATCAACAACATACTCAACACAGGTACATGGCCGGGCCGCCCTGTGCCACGGCTGTGTCATTCGCTTTGGCATGCCCTGCTGGGGCCCCGGGCCGGATTGTGCAGACGGTGCAGGCGCTTTGGGCGTCCTGCTGCCAACATGAGGCGACTCGGTCGCAGGGGGATTGAGCACGGCTGAGTTTGCAGCTCGACGGCCCCAGAATTACAATGCAAGGTGCCCGTTCTTCAAATTCAAGGCTGTTCTGCTGGATGGCTGGTCTTCCACAAGATCTGGAGAACCAATGCTCAAACCCTGAACCCTAACCGCCACACTGCCATTCAGGGGAGGTGCCCAACTTATTTGCAAAGGACGAGGTCGTCTCCATACTCGAGGGCGTCACCGCCCGCGCCAAGAAGGCCGCCGCGGCAGCTGCAGCAGCTGCAGCTGGGACGGCGGGTTCGGGGCCGCAGCAGCCGCGCGCCGCGGGGGCGGCGCTGACGCCGGCGGGGTTGTGGGCGTTCTTTGTCGAGAGCTGCAGGTGTGTGTGTGTGTGTGTGTGTGTGTGTGTGTGCACGCGCGTGCGTGCGTGCGTGCACAATCTGTGTTCATACTTGTGTGGTAACTGGCAGGAGTTGGGAAGGTTGTGGTGGAGCCATTTGAAGCTTTTGAGTATGCTGAAGCATTCCCGCAAGGCAGGTGCGGCCAAATCTCCATCTGCTTGCGCACTGACACCTCCTACCCGGTTTTATTGCCCTCCCTCGCCACCCTTAGGGCCAACCTCCATTTGGTGCTGGCAATGAGCCCCGTCGGCGGCGCGTTTAGGGAGCGGCTGCGCAAGTGGGTGGCGGCCCTCTCCCCGCTCCTGCTCCTGGATGCTATTGGCGCACATGTGTGCCCGCCTTGTCGCTGCTTTGGTTGCTCGTCTCATCTCACATCAATATGAGGCAAAACCGCCGCCAACAGTTGCACAAAAATCAAGCGTCATACGAGCCTGTCTTGGTACGTCTTAAACAGGTTCCCCTCTCTGGTGAATTGCACCACCATTGACTGGTTCTCTGAGTGGCCGGCAGATGCGCTGCAGGGGGTGGCCGGCAGGTGCGCCAGCCCGCCGTCGCTTTGTGTGCCACAGAGAGCACCTGTTCGCCGTCCAGCAACCCCACTGCGCGTCTGGTCGAATGTCACAAGGTCCTATCGGCCATCTTGGCGACAGCTGTGGAAGTGATTTGGGCTGGTGGTGCTCACGGCGGCATGGCTCACTCGCAGGTTCTTGGCATCGCTCGACATGGCGCCGGCTTCGGCGGAGCCCGCCTCAGCCGCAGCTCCAGCTGCGGCCGCAGCCCCCAGCAGCGGTGAGAGTCCAACGGCGGCGGCGAGCGCAGCGCCGGGAGCGGGCGCGGCGCCGCATGAGGGGGCCGGCGAGGACGGACGAGGGTTTGAGGAGTCCGAGGCGGGCGCCGCGGCGCGAGAGGCGGTGGTTGAGCTGTGCATGGCGATGCACATCGGGGTGCGGCGCCTGGCTCAGGACTTTTACAGGTAGGGTCGCGCGCAAGGCAGGCCGAGTGAATGGGGTCCGGCTTACGGCGGGCCTTGCAGCGTTTGACTGGGCTGCGCCTCGCCGGCTGTCCGTATGATCTGACAACTATGCAGATTCCAGCATGCAGACTGAAGCGCGGGCCACGTGTGCCGCAGCTTTCCAACCCGTCCCTTACAATTTCGCCATTACTCTGCAAACAACGCCTCTCAATCGTGCGTGGCCCACCGCAGGGACCAGAAGCGCCGCACCTACACCACGCCCACCAGCTACCTCGAGCTAATACAGGTGGGATGTCTTCTTTTGTCGCCTGCATGCATCCGCCTCCAGGTTGCGAGATCCACCCCCCTTGAGAAAAGCCCAGCCCCAAGCAGAGCCTCTTTGAGACACCACCTTCTGTGCTTATATGACTCCCTCCGCCGTGCTTATGCGAATCCCTCGTAAACCCAAACGTTTCTGTCTTCCACTGTGCCAGGCCTACAAGGAGCTCCTTGGTGCAAAGCGCAAGCAGGTCCAGCAGCAGAGGAGCAGGTGCGCGCCACGTAGCCGCAAACCTCCCCAATGCCATGCATGTGACTTTGTTGCTGCAGCTTGCTGCTGCTGCAACGAGCCCTTGGCTGCCGGCTCCGAGGCCGCAGCTGGCGATGCACACTGCAAGGGACGCGCGTGCGCTGTCACTGGCTTGTCTTACTCCAAGGGACATTACTTTGAGCTGAGCTTGCGGCCCTCGCATCCTCGGCCGCCCGATGCAGGTACGAGGTTGGCCTCTCCAAGCTGCTGGCGGCCGAGGTTGACGTGGGTCGCATGCAGGAGGAGCTGACAGCTCTGCAGCCACGGCTGGTGGAGACGGGTGCGCCTGGGGTCCAAGGGGACAGGGGTTGGCGGAATTCTGTTGACTCCACCACCTGATAGAAACGTGTGAAGCAACAGCGCGTGAGTTATGTACCACTTGGGCTATCATATCATAGTAGTAGTTGCAGCAATGCAACACACATGCCGCACGCAAGGTTTTGCCACGAGATTCTGCCAGGAGTGCCTGCACGATCATATGGGAAGCAACCCAGCGTATTTTGTCGGCGAAGAAGCCAAAATGCACGCAAGCTGTGGCCAAGGTGACGATCGTGCTTGACCAAACTCTCGACGCCGCCGTATCTTTGATGTTGCCTGGAATGCCTGCAGGCAAGCAGGTCGCGGAGACCCTCACGGTGGTGGACCGGGAGACCCAGGAGGCGGCCGCCAAGAGGGAGGTCGTGGCCGGGGAGGAGGCCGCGGCGTCGACCAAGGCGGCCGCAGCCAAGGCCATCAAGGTGGGGCCGGTTGCTTCATTATACCAATCCTTGCTGATGCCCAGCCGCACGCCCCCTCGTGTCGGAGCGACTGCCGGGATTTAAACTGCAACTGTGAGCCTTTGGTACCACCCTAACGCTGCCGCTACTTGCATGACGGGCCTACACTGCCCTGATGATGCCCCCCCGCTCTCCCGCCTCAAACACTTCGCTGTTGCTGATGCAACCTCGACCTCTGTTCACTCGCCCGCGCTTGCACACAGGACGAGTGCGAGGGGGAGCTGGCTGTGGCGATGCCGCTGCTGGAGTCGGCCCTCGCAGCACTCAACACCCTCACCAAGGCTGACATAACAGAGGTGAGTGACTGCACGCACACAACACACCAGCGCAACTCCGGCAAGGTCGTTCCTTGTTGGCGACAGACTCAACCAAGCAACGTCTGTCCTCGTGTGCGTTTTTTGCGCACTCATTGGCCCAGCATGCTCATCACACTGCATGTTTCCATCAGGTGCTGTTGATGTGTTGCAGGCCTGCTATTGCTTGATGAAATGCAACCCCGCTCAACTGCTCACAACGCTGCACAATACTGCAGGTCAAGAGCATGAAAAATCCCCCGGCACCGGTCAAGGTGGTGATGGAGGCGGTGTGCCAGATGCTGGGGGTCAAGCCCAAAAAGGTGGGGCTGCCGCGACTATTGGTGTCGAGGGCTTGCGAGTGAGCACTTGTTTGTGGAACCTGCCTTGGCACAGCAGATAAAGGCCAGTGAATGCTGCAAGCCCCACAGAGCGACGGGTGTGGGTCAGCCGTACGCTGGAGAGGCAGCAACGGCACATCTGTGCGCTTTGTCGGCTGTGAGGCCAAGCGAAAGCCACCTCTCCTCGCATCAACAGCAAGCCAGGCTTTTGTCGCACTTGACTTGCGTGTTGGAAAATGGCCGCCTTGCCTGACTGCACAACACGGCTGCGCCCAAACAGATGAACGACCCATCAGACCCCACGAAGAAGCTGGACGACTACTGGGGTCCGTCCCAGGCTCTGCTTGGTGCGTATGGGGGTTGCAAGTGGGGCGGCCCGTGACAGTCGTGAGGGCGTTTTGTTTCTGCCATGCACGGCATTATCATGACAGAAAGCTCGATGCTGACTCATGTGTCTCCGGCGGTGTGTGGGGCAGTAACAGCCGCGTGCAATGTCGTCCTCTGAAGATTCTTGCCACATTATATGTATAGATATCTTGATTTCAACTCAACCACCAACCCGACCCCCTTCCCAACTCATCGTGCAAATTCATCTGCCCTCTGCGCATGAAGGCGACCCCACCTTCATGTCCCAGCTGTCTGGCTACGACAAAGACAACATCGCACCAAACGTGATAGCCGCAATCCGTCCCTTCCTTGACCGCAAGGAGTTTGAGCCCGAGGTGAGGAGCGGGCTGTTTGATATGTACGAGGTTACGACACCCCCCCGAGCCCCACCAGGACACTGTTTCCGGTTGCTGTCCACAAATGGTCAAGCACGATTACATTGCACCCTTGGCGTTGGTATTAGCATAAACCTCTGTGGCCAACGCGCTCGCGCCGTTCCTGGCGTCGCGGCACCGCAGACTGTGAAAAAGGCGTCCAAGGCGGCCTACGGGCTGTGCTGCTGGGTGCGCGCCATGGAGGCCTACGACAGGTGAGGGGGCTGCGGGATCGCGCACCGCGTCCATTTGCTGGGAGTGACAGGGCACACCGTGCTGCCTGGGGCCGTCACTTGTAGGCTACCGTGTTGTCTAGGGTGTAGATTTTAGGTTTTGCAGCAGGCAACTAGAATACCCTTGACAGCGCAACACACCAGGCGCCTGTGCTGGGCGAGAGGTGCGTCAGGTGGGACAGCCCCCCGCCTGTTGCCGACGCGCTTACCGCCGGTCAATTGTGCCATGTGATTGCCCTTCCGCTGTCTGCTCTTGCCTGCAGGGTGGCCAAGGTGGTGGCCCCCAAGAAAGCAGCCCTGGCCACTGCAGAGGCTGAGTTTGAGCAGCTCATGGTGAGCGTGCCCGGCTCTCGTGCAGCTCTGGATCTTGGCAATTATTTGGATCACAGCAATCTTGGGTTTTTGATCACAAACTCACTGCATAAGCATTTGGCCAACCAATGCATATCGCCTACAACATCCTCCCAGCTAGTGGCTGCCCTGCCACAGTTTTGAGCCGCACCGAGCGGGCTGCTGTCAGGGCAGCTGCAGTGCTCCGCCCACCCGCACTTTGCCCCTCTGAGGTTGTTCTGTCAGTATATGATTTTCGAACTGAACGTCCACTAAGCATACGACCCCAACAACCGCCAGGTCGGGCTGCGGGCAAAGAAGGCTGAGCTGGCGGCGGTTGAAGCACGCGTTGAGGAGCTCAACTCCAAGCTCAGGGAGATGCAGGCGAGCCGGGGTGCACGCCCTGCAGTCATGATGGGCTAGGCTGCGCGTGCTTGTGGGCTTGCTTGCTCGTGATGGAGGATCAGGCTTGTAAAGTGGTATGGCTGGGGCTTGAGTGGCGGGTTGCTGTGGGGTTGTTTGTATAGGCCGCCTGAACTGACCCTCCTGTGCCCCTGCCGCTCTGAGTGTTGAAACCCCTTTCTGTCTCCCGTCTAAACATCGCACCACGTCTCACCCCTCCCCACACCCCATCCCAACCCCCACCCTCCACCCCAAACTTCCCATGGCACTGCCTCAGGAGCGCAAGGCTTCTCTCGAGGCCGAGGCCGCGCTGTGTGAGAAAAAGCTGGAGCGCGCGACAAAGCTCATAGGCGGCCTCGGAGTGAGGGGGGCGCGGCCTGGATGGAGGCTAAAACAATGGGTTTGCAACATCTGGCGACCAATCATGCGGGCTGCATGATTGCCTGTCATCGACGTGCTGTGAAAGCAGCATCTCCCTCATTTCACTTGGCATGTCATTTGCGATGCGGGAGTGCGGGCCAATCTCAGCCCTGCATGCGTCACCAGTGCTTGGCTGCTCAGCAATCGAGCTTCCATCTTCTCGCACCAAGCAAACGCCTTCTTACTCATTCCTGCACGCGCCAACAGGGGGAGAAGACGCGCTGGAGCGAGGTCACGCGGCGGCTGGCCAAGGACTACGTCAACCTGACGGGTGACGTCCTGCTGGCCGCCGGGTGAGAGGGCAATACCATGCGGGACCGAGGGTGGATGCGCTACTGGCATCGTGAACGCCACGCCTTTTTTCTGAGTCTTAACTCTTCTTCCCAGATGAAGTTGTTGGAGGGCTTTGATTCGCAGCACCACACCGCACGCAGCTTGACCGTTGTCGCGCTGCCTCCACCCAAGTGCATCACAGTCGAGGGCTTCCCAATGACATTGACCTGGCGCCAACCACCTAAATGCTCTGCCTCACGCAGGTACATCGCGTACCTCGGGCCGTACACCGCCCCCTACAGGGATCGCATGGCGCACGCATGGCTGTCGAAGTGCAGGTAACTCGCAAGGGAATTGGCAGTGGGCGGGCACTGCGGACATGCACCTGGCAGCAGGTGTGCATGCCTTCTGCACGCAGCGGCAGGCCGCGCGCCGGGCAGACGTGCTGTGCACCCCCGGGCTAAAGCCAACTGACGCTTTCCACGCGCCCGGTCGGGTCGCTCGGAGCCCTGCGCGCCTCGCCGCGCGGCGCCGCGCCCGGCCCTTGATTGCAACAACCCGGGAAGTGCACCCTCTGATGCGAACGAAACCTTCATGATGACGTCATCCAGGGCCGCGGGCATCCCCTGCTCAGAAACATTCAGCCTCACCGCGGTGCTGGGCAACCCCGTCACCATCCGATCCTGGTGAGTGCAGGCAGTCACCACAGCTGCTGCTGGTGTTGTATGGATTTGAGGGAGCGGCGCTCGTGAGACAGCACGGCCCGGCGCGGACATGACGCGAGGCGCGACAGATAGGACTCCGATCTGCTGTCAATGTGCTCACTCCGCTGCACCCC